GTAAAAATTTACCCAATACTTGTTGATCTATTTGAAATCTCATTCTCCGTATCATATATGTATAACTGACAGAATTTTGGTCTAGATCCACCTGTCGGTAGAAGACTTCCCATACTATGATAATTTTGACCACTAAGTCTAAATATGTATGGTGTGTTGCCCGTGTTGATGGATGAATCAACTTTTCCTCCCATGGATGTAAATGAAAACATTGAATTGTAACGTCGAATGTTCTTCATGAAGTGTTTGCTTTTAGAATCTACGGAACAGTAAAGATTTTTGTAAGATGATGGTGCTTCTTTTAAAGGTGGTAGTTCAACTTTGCCGTAACCACAACATAACGAATAAGATGTATTCCCGTTTTTTTGCCTCTAAGCGATTCATCTTTCCATAGTTTTGCATGACAAATTTGACATAGGACAATCTGGTCTCCATGATCCAAGTAATCTGTTGAATCCCATAAATAAATTAAAAATAATGAATATAATTTAAAATATTAAATTTTCTATATTTATGATCACCTTGTGAAGTACCGCAAAAAACATCTTCAATAATATGGTCATCATTAATTTCTTCATCTAATATCAAGTCAATCATAGGTATAGCAGATATGTGTGTAGTCTTCCTTTTTAATTGATGTTTTCCTTTTGGTAACTTGATTGATGAAGATTTTTGAGTGATGGTTGAACGACCGGTAGATGTCATGCCAATACCAAACAATGGATTATCATTGTTAATAGATAGTGGTGTTTGAATGTTATTATGAAAAATATAATTTCCTAAAAAAATCAAATTACAAATTATAACGTTAGGAATTTGTATAAATTATACAATTGGTAAACATATATTTTAGAGTCTGTCTATAAAGAAATGCATACCATTTGAAATGTTAGATAAAGGAGTTCTAACATTTATATCTCCAGACTAAGAATGAATAGTTGTATGTTGATATACAAATGGTTTGACTGAGTTTAGATTTTCCTTATGTGATGTAACGTTTCTGTAGTTATCTACAGATACTAAATGACTACGACGATTGTAGACATCTGTTATGTAATGAAAAAAAAAATATTGTTAATAATAAAAATAATAAAATTAATTATAAAAAAAATAATTAAACTTTAGAATTTAGCAATTTAATATAATTTATATAGTTCAAAAAGAATTATAAAATAAAAGAATAACAATACCGTTATTTGATATGTAAGAAACATGTGTAATAGGTGAATTTTGATGGGTATATGTGTTAGAATTTACTTTGGATTTTTTATTATCCAAATATAACTTTCTAATTTTTCTCCTATCTTTAGCGTTTGTAGAAGTTGTAGTGTTAATTGAACCTGTAAACTGATAGTAAATAATTTAAGAACATTTTTTATATAAAATTAAATATGTTATATTTTATAAAAATTTAATTATTTTTAAAATAATAATGAACAGTAGATTAAAAATAGATAAATAAAATATATTAAATATTTAAAACAAAGTAAGAAAATTACCGTATTTGCTAAAATGAGTAGTATGTGCAATAGATATATGTTGAGACGATTCCGCGGTATAGTTATTCTTAGATTTTTTTATTTTCCAAGTATAACTTTCTCTTTCTTCTTCTTTCTCTAGCATATGTAGCATCCATATTCTTCTTTGATATATAATAAAATCAGTAAAGTTAACTTATAAAAATTAATAATTTTAAAATGACTATTACAAATGATTGGTAACTTATGCAATCCAAATAAACTTCAATTAAGAAATTGAATAATAATAACAAACCAAAGATAGTTATAAATCATAATGCGAAACTTATGTTATATGGCAATACAATTGGAGAAACATAATATATTTATCGATCATAAAAGTGGTTTTTTTTTATGTTAGAGAAAGTGATAACGTATTTTTATCATTGTCCATGCTCGATTTTGAAAGGTCATATATATATATATATATATATATATATATATATATATATATATATATATATATATATATATATATATATATATATTGAAAATTCCAATAAGCTAATGTATTCAAATGTTTAACATATAACGGTTGACATTTAAAACCGTGTTTATGCATAAAGTAAATAAAAAACATGAGAAATTAAATAAATTTTATTTTAACCATTTTAAAAATTATTCATAATTTTTTATTTATAATAAAACCCACCTAAAAGTTATCACTATTCCCCAAACTTTCCCCTTTCCCTTTTGTCTGTAACACACACGATGAAACAAAAAACCACAGCCCTAGAATTTTGATTACATACACATTTCCACAGCCACCGTTCGATTTCTAAAAGGTTGTGAACGTTTATCCATGTATTGATAAAGGAAGATACTAATATACCACCGATTAGAAATGTGAAGTGAAGAAAAGCTTACGTCGAGTAATCCCGCTGTCGAACTCAGAGACTGGTTGAACGCAACATTGGGGTTTGAAGAAAGCAAGATTCAAGGTAAGAGATGATCAACTGATGGTTAATCTTAGTTTTTTTAACAGAAAATAGATTATGTCGAAGAAAATTTACCTATTTTTCTTTGTTCCAGAATTGTTGTGACTGAAGATATAAGCGAAAAGTGAAGCCGTTCAAAAGAATAAACTCACATTTGTTAATAGCGGAAACACAATAAGGTAGAAATGGTTTTCGTTCGTTTTTTGAAATTTGAGTGTTTGTTTAAACATTTGAATTTTGAAATTGCTAAATTTTAGACAAAATCTCGTTAATGATTATTTACGGGATCATATGAGTAAATAAAACAATTAATTTATTTGATATACCTTCTAAATTATATGAGTTTCGTATCATTGTATAGTAAGGTTTTCAATTTTATGTATAATACAGATAATCTATATCTGATCCATATTTCAGTTGTGATAAAGAATCGATGTTTTGGTGGGTCACTGTGTTTCAAGATACTTATGTTAGTTTAAATCATTGTTCATTTTTATCAAACTTTATCTTTTTGCATACCCTTAATCCCTATTTCAATCAAAATCAGTTAGTTTTTACTACTGATTCATTATCTTGCAGGCCAATAAAAATGGTATGTGACAAATTGCAGAAATCCATATAGTTTATTAAAACTCTTCTTACTTGATGTATAAGTGCATGCATAGATGTTTATTTAGGATTTTATGCACAAGGGTTAAAATGAAAAATAACAATTTTCTTGGTATTAAAGGTAACTGAATTGTCTAAAACTGTAATACAAACTATTTTGTCCAAAGTTTTCTTAGATTATTTTCTTGATTTATCCTTAAATAACTCATTCATAATCCTTAATATTTCTTGTAGGGTAGTGGAATGAATTTTTGTGCTGATGATGATGGATTACTATCCTTGAAATGGTGAATATGATAAAAAGGTATAAAATGAAACCAATTGTGTTGGTAATGAATTAGAATTAACACATCCTCTGTTTATTTGATTTACTTAATAATTTTAGGTTCATTAATCTCGGTTTCTATAATGTACATCTCTCTATCCAATAGAATTGATAAACCTTCGGTTTGCTTGCTATGGTGGGACACACTCACATCCTTTTCATTAATATATACATGCTTCTTTAATGAGTCTAAATTATTTAAAATTGTGTGATTCTTTTTTATGGCAAATAGTTACAAAATCAATGGATGTGGTTTCAAATTGTTTAGTTAAAAGTCATTATGAGTTCATTTTTATTGTTCGACAGAGAATACAAAGCTATTGCAATAATCAATTCTTAAATTTTTATATAATTTTGTCAAATCTGTAATGTAACAACAATTTTGAACAATTCCCCTGACCACTACCTAAAATGTAGGTCTAAATGCACGAAATGAAAATATATTCTTTTTTTTTTGCTTAGTATAGCCTTTGATTTTCTTTTTTTTTAGAATATATGTTTTTAGAAAAGATGCGACATGTTTGTATTTAGCATGTAACAAATATTTAGGAAAATTTGGAGAATAATGTTTTACTCTAACTCAACCTATATATGCTACTCAACCATTATATGTTACTCATTTAGCATTTAGCATTTAACATGCATAAACAATTTATTTATTTTGTGTAATTATATGATTACAAACTATACAACCTTCATCTGCTATCTTTTAGAACCTATAAAACACATAAAAAATTTCGATTTGTTAGTTACCTCCTAACTACATAAGCATATAAAATATACAAAAATATGGATCGGGAGACATTTATACTATTTCACTATATTTTGAGGACCATTTCCATAACTTTTTCTAATATATAACAAATGCATTTTGTTGCTATATTTTTCAAACTTTTTTATCAACAAAGTAGTAACCATTAATGGAAAAAACTAAATTTTTATAGTTCTTTTATTTATTCCTATTATAACATTCTACTATCAAAAGATTGTTGTTTACACTTTTATAGCAATATATATTAATTTTGCTTTTAAACCACTAAATAAATAACTATTTCTCTGACTCCGGGAGGAATAATTGGTTCGAAAATAAGCATTGTATTTTGAAATGTGCTATAGGTAGCAATATTATATTACTTAAGTAACAAAATTAATAATTTCTTGTTTTCTTTAGATATGGAAGAATCTAAAGTTGTGGGCACCATTCTTAAACTATGGTCAGCTAACAAAACCTCAATCTTTCAGGGTTTTACTTCAGGTAATAATAATATGATTGAAATTTTTTGTATTTGTTTTTGTTTTTGTAAATATTTGATTTGTGAAATTTAAATTGTGTTATTTTCATCCTCCTAGAAAGCTGGAAATATCAATGAATAAACAACATATAATCAACCAGAATTAAGATCTTCAGTCAATCTCATTTTGAAGCACAATCACAATCATAGACTGGGCTACTTTAGAATAGGAATAAGAAACATCCAATTTCAAAGTCAAATGTAAACAACCGCTACAAATAGAAGTCTATATAATATATGTTTGAAAATTAAAAAATAAATGCGGTGTATGTTAAATAACAAAATTATTCCAAGATCATAAGTGATTTAAATAACAAAATTATTTATAAATCATAAATTAACATTCATAATAATATATTATGAATGTAGGTTAAACATACTAATAAAAAACAATCATCCCCAACAAATGTTTGAAAATTCTAAAACAAAACGTGAAAGTACTTAATGAAAAGTAAAATGCATAATCATTGTCTATAAATCATAATCCAACACCTAACGAAAGTTAAACTTAAAATAAAAAGTCAGCCACTTTTTTCCAACTTTATCTTCACAATCTGGTTAATGCGTCATTCTGGCGATATTTTAGGAGTTTTTGATAATGATAAATGTTCATTCAACTCCAGATCAAACACTTCTTCCAGATTTCTCTTCAAAACAGTTGGTGTATTGAAACCCTTCATAGGACTTGTTGCTGAGTTTTTATCAATAGTGTAAGGTGTTATGTTGTCGTCTGTCCTAGAAATTGCATCCTAAATAAAATTTGTACTTAATTAATATATAATCTGAACTTATATTTATAAAATAATTATATTCTGTTATAAAGTGTATATAACCTTCAAAATCCTATTATCTTGTGATTCAGAATCGGCTTCACCAATATCAAATGATTGTGAATTACCTACCTGCATAATAAATAATAAAAAATATGAACACATATAATAATAATAATAATAATAATAATAATAATAATAATAATAATAAATCTTTTTATAAGAATAGTAAAAATATTAAGCATAATAATAATAATAATAAATAATTTAATGACCTGTGAAAAGGTAAACTTATTTTCGAGTTCTTCAATCAACTTTTCATCATCACTGACTCTACATATACTGTATTGGTTGTTGTTGTTCGAGACATTGAAGCGACTGATTGATATTTTAAAAGCCAACTTCAAACCTTTCAGTGCATTTATCTCTCCGGGATAAAGTTGAGTACTAAAACCAAGCTACAATAAAAAAAAGTAAAAAAAATTTAGTTAAACTAAATATATTAAGTAAATGTATCATTTAATTTTAATCAAGGAAGATGACCTTGACTGTTTTTTTAAACAGATCATGGGCTGATTTTTTCAAAATATACTTTCCATCTCTTTCAAACATGGTTAAGGTAAAAGTACTAGTATTGTCTTGCACACGTATCGGAATCCTATATCTATAAAAAAGGAAAATCCAAAATATATTAATTACAATATAAAATATAATATAGGTTTTAATGATTCGGGAGGAAAATAATAACCTCGGAATAACCGTAGTTTTGTTTTTTGTGCAATCCTTATTATGACATTCATAACCAGTTAATCCTTCATCATCAACTTGATCTTCTGCACCAGGAGGCCGAATTGCTTTGTAGTTGCAATTTGTACATGCCAAATAATGTCATGGTTCATTTTGTAAAATTCCCTTTATAGTGCCCACGATAATGAAAGTATTTTTCTGAATATTAATTTTATTTTTATTATGCTATATACATAACAAAAAAAAAGTAGATTTATAAATATTATAAAATTTATAAAAACCGCACCTCCACAGGTTCTGAAACATCAGCAATTGTCTTCAACTGAAACTTAACCATGAAATCATCATGTTCAGAAACTTTATTAGACTTCATAAGTGTTAATGTATTTGTGGATGAATCAGGGCGATCATCTCCATCCAAACTGTTTGTTAAAAAAAATTAACTAATATTAGTCACATAAAAATTAATGGTTGAAATTTGAATGAAATAGATAAAAGTAAATAATATTAATGACATAAAAGATAAATATAGAAATTATAATGAAATAACAAATAAGTAATATTAATCACATATAACTAATATTAGTGACATAAAAGTTAATCGGAGAAATTAGAATGATATAACATAAAATACATTTTCTTAAAAACATTGATTTCATCAATATCTGAGTTAATGAACAGCTTCGACACGGTAAAAATAGGTGTTAACTGTGGGATGATCTATAAAAAAAATTTAATAAGTGTTAATTTAATGATTAAAAAAATAATTAATAACAAAATACTATAGTATACCTCTCCAAATACTAAGTTTCGCAAATTGAATGATAACGATGATACGAAGATTGTGTGGATTGTTATCAAGAAACCGTTGCATTTTGTAAGCAAAATCACCCCACAAATTGACACTTAGTTGCAAACCACTGCCAAATAAAAGTTTTAAATTAAATAAAATTATAATTAGATAATCTAATATCCAAAAAAATAAAATAAAATATAAAATAACAAACTTTGCATCTTGGATTTGGATGTTGAGTCTGTGTTTTTTGATATCATCATTGTCTTTCCCCACCTCACCAATTGCAACGACCAATCCAATAACATCTATGAACATCAGAAAAGTTGAATTAAATTATGTTATGATTTTAAAAACATGATATACTATTCAAACCATAAAATTGACAATAATTAATCTATAACAAATTGCAACTAACCGATAGTAGTGTTTTCAGGATGGGTCAATGAGATAATAGACTGGTAATCAACAAATTCAAAACCAAATGCAGGTCCAGAAAAGTCATGACACTCCGTAAGAACAGTGTTATGGACAAAAGTAAGTTTATGATGTTGCCGAGTTAAAGTAAAACCACCCATCCTTTGAGATGCAAAGCTTGGATATTGTATGTAAAATGCCAAGCCATCTTTTAGAATGTTTTTTAATCGATAGATGTTTTTTCTTAATACATTTGCTTGGATCTTGGTACCCTAAAAGAAGTATAATATATAAAATTATCATCAAATCATATTAAATTTTGAATGTCTAATGAATATATAGTGTTAAGTTGTAAAATACCTGTTCATCTATTAAGATTAATTCAATCGAGAAAAGCTCATCATTGTTATAGAATGAAAAAAGGTTCCATAGGTTTATCACTTTAACTTTGACAGTCGAATCATCTTTAAGTATATCCAAATCCGAAATCAAAGTAACATTTGGTTGTGCCATTTCTCTGCACAGAAAAATCAACATATATAAAATGACACGGATCGAAAAAGCAATGTAAAATAAGTTGAATTAATTATCAAAGAACAACCAAGCTGATAACCTAATGTATAGTTATCATGGTTTTCGTGTAGCATTAGAGTAGATAGCAATTGACATGTGAAACAGTGAAAGCAGTGAAGGGATTGAATGAAATGTAAAATCAAATTATTGAAACATATTGTGTAACATATAATAAGAAATAGCAACTTTTAAAATCGTACCTTCATTGCGTGCAAATATAGCAAGAATGATAGTCAATTAATTGATGTAAATATATGTTCAAGAAACAAAGGAAACGAAACGAATTTACATTCTAAACACAAAGACAGGAAAAAAAAAAAAAAAAAAAAAAAAAAAAAAAAAAAAAAAAAAAAGAGAGAGAAAAAGAAAGATTGAAATTACAGAAATAGATGTATAGGTTGATGTTAATTTGAAAAATTAATAGAAATAAGTGTTTTACTAACCTTTTGCAAATCGGAAAAGCAAAGCAGTTAAGAAACTCAAACTTGAGGGCAAAGCAGTAGAAGATTATGGGCATCGATGGGTTAATATAAATATGCAGAGAGTAATGAAGCACAAAAATTTTATTAATTGCAGAAAAATATTTTATTTTGCCGATTTTATTCCTGATTTTTTTGGATCTAAATAGTGGGAAATTGTTTCAAATTAAAATCTATGACTATAATTTTGTTTTCTCTTTTTTTTTTCTGCAAAGATTTGGGTTAATTTGATTCCTGATTTACAGGATTACAAGATATGATAATATTGATTGTTATTTTTTGAATTTAAAAAATATGTTGTAAAACAAATAACCATAAATGTAGGATTGACCATAAATTTACCAAAATTATAGAATTAATATCTTTAATATCTGTTTTTATATACAGGTAATTGACCTGAATTTTAGGAGGTGATGTATCGATATTTAATTTTTTCTAATTTTATATATGCAGGTAAATGAGCTGAATTTTAGGAGGTGATATATTTGCTGTAAAGGATGGGCGGAAAATTTTGCTTAAGAGATTCCTAGTTAAGACACGTGGCAAGGAGGAGTTGCATAAGAGGGACACGTGTCTAGCAAAGTACTCTTTTATTAAGAATAGATTAGGTTCCATTTTGAATCTATTAGTTTTATGTCTATTAGTTTTATGTCTTTGATACTTCATTTTTTTACATGCTTTAAATCTACCTAGATTTTTTTATTTAATTTGTTTAGCATTTGAATTTGAAGGAGAGGTCCACATGTTGGCAACATTTTGATATGTTGTGGGTAGTAGAAGATGATGGGGTTGAACGAAGGCAAGCAAGGTGTAAGTATTGTTTCGCTACACTTAAAGCCGAACCATCAAGACACGGTACAAGTAGTCTTAATAGACATTGTCGTACGTGTGCCAAAAATCTGAATAATATAGCTAGGTAATAAGTTTTGTGCTTTTAATTTATTTGGTAACATTTTTTTAATACCAAATATGTTTATTTTTGTTTTATGTATAGAGATTGAAGATGCGTTAACTCGACAAGATGGTCAAGGAATAAGTGTTGTTTTGTTCTTAATTGTAGAATTTTGATTTGAATTGTTTTGAATATTAGACTTTGATTTTGAATTGTTCAATAGGTACCATGAACTTGGACCCAACCATTGTCCCTTTCAAGTTCAAAAACATTAATCAACCAAAACAAACACTTACAAACCAATAATCATTTATCAACAAAAAAAAAACAAAAAGAGTATAACTACTCGTTAATATCTATCGGCCTTTTTCCATTTCCATTTTGGGTGCGTATGGCGTCTTCCAACTCTAATACATATCAGAAAAAAATTAATGTAAAAGTTAGCATATAACAAATGTTTTATTATTAGATAATAAAATGAATTTGTTTGCTACCTTTAGCTATGGCATCATCTTTAAGAATGTCATCGATGTTGTCAACAATCGGCTTCTTTGATTTCCTCACCCAATCTTGGGTGCAAACCAAAGCCTCTATTATATTTGCTCAGTAACTATCAATTATGCGACCGCTTGTCTAAAAGCGGACTCGGATGCCACGATAGATATTTGAATGCCCAAAAGATCAAATAACATAAACATATAATGTCAAATTATACTACATTATAATAAAAAATTATTAGTAATTAAAATTATACCTTTTGCCATCCGCGAGAGAATTGGGTAACGAGATGCGTTATTTTTCCACCAAACCAGTATATCAAAGTCTTTAATGCCTTGGGTTTGTCCTTCGTTCAAGTATCGTGTTAATTTTGTTTCCTTTGAAGCCGATGAGTTCACTGATTGAGCAAAATAGTCACCCAAAAATTCGTCATCACCATCAATATGCACGACATCTTGACTACCACCGGTTTCAAATGGTACATTAGAGTTGGTATTGTAACAATTAAAAATGTTCTCAAATCTCGTTTCAACATCCTTGATTAAAGACTTAGCCTTCACAGTAATATCTAATTCGGAAAGGGGTTTATTTTCCGGCATTTTGTACTTGATCAATGTTTCAAAAGCATGTCTAAGAAATTTTGTCTTCATTCGCGGATCCAAGATAGTCGCAAAGTACATGTAGTCATTCAAATTTTCAAAATCACCCCAATACTTCTCATATTTATCTATCATATCTTTCCCAATTGAATAAAATCATTTGTTTTTCGACCAAACCCGTATATGCTTGTAAATGCCACATACTTCTCGAAAAAAACTGATTTGCCAATGGTTTTGAAGTCGTCGACACCAATTCTGTTTTAACCTTAAACTTCTCAGGAAAGGAGACCATTGCTCGACAAGTTACAAAATCTTCACTCACGGGGTTACCACATCTCGTGCAAAGGAACGATCTATCAAAAAAATGTTACAAAAAAAAAAGATTTAATATATCATTTTTGGGGGGCTGTAAATGACTCCGTACATTTGCAAATAAGGTATTTCTAGAATCTATAACTATTGCCAAACAGTGAACTACAATTTTAAAAAAAAAAATCAGCCCAAACGGACTAATAACGAAGTAGATATGACAGTTTAAAGTTAACTAAAATTCTACAATAATGTTGTACCAGATTCAAAACAGCTTTGATATGTCATTTTTGGAGGGCTGTAAGTGACTCAATACACATGCAAATTAGGTGTTTCCATAGTCTATAACTATTGCCAACCAGTGAACTACAATTTAAAAAAAAATCAGCCCAAACGGACTCCGAATGAAGCAGATATGACATTTTAAATAGTGCAAATGTCGGCTTTGAGAACCCTCTCACACCATTTGCACTTTCCATGCCGAACTCCATCAATAAAAATCTTCTCAAATGATTTCCAACAATCAGACCTTGTTTTCCTTACTCTTTTTCTCCTTTGTGTTGGTTCCTCATTGATTTCTTGTTGAGTGTTGTTAACAAACACATCGTCATCATCAAACTACAATAGATAACAATAAAAACACAATTAAAATACAATAACACAACTTAATAACAAAATAGTTATTCTTATGCTTATATATATATATATATATATATATATATATATATATATGTATGTATGTATGTCTTGTTTGTATATAACTTCATATCCCAATCAAATGGAATACAAAAACAACGAGTATCCTAATATGCTAATATGTTTGTTTCAACTGCATCAAAGTCATGGTGGGCAACTGTATCAAAAATAACAAGTATCCTAATATGGGGGCAGGCATAAAAAACAGCAAGTATCCTAATATGGGGGCACGCAACTGCATCAAAGTCATGGCGGTGGTGGAGGACAATGGAAGCCAGCTTTAAACAGTATTTCATAGATTGGGAATTGAGTCGCTTTTCTTCTTCTTTCTCTGCACTTGTTGTAAACTTTATTTTCTATAAAATTCTTCATCTTATTATCTAATTAGAATTAACTACTTTTATTATACCTTGTTTGGATAATAGCTTTAAACTACATGGCTTAAGCTTAAGAGTGAAAGCAATAGGCTAATAGCAAACTGCGATTCCCACAACACAGTAGAAAAACACAAACTTCATAACACATGAAATCAAAATTCTTGACAAATTACTTGTGTAGCTTCATTGTTATCTAACCAATTGTCCACCATTGGTCTTTAATTGATTATAGGAGATTGATTTGAAGTTCAATTGAGAATGAATGGAAGTTGATGTGTTGATGATCGTCGACCTGAATGATGAACTAAGGCTTTAGTATCGGCGTAAATCGGCTGAGGCTTGGGCTTCAGTATCGGCGCAAATCGAGTGAGGATTGCGTAGGCGACGATGATCTACTTCTTTGTGATCAGTGATTTTTTTTAGCTTTTCTCTGTAGACGATCGACGAAAATTGAGGGCACGTGGAAAAGAAACCAATTGTATTCCGGTTCCATAGTTAGCATGTTTCCTATACTGGTTCCACATCTAAATTGGTTCTTTGGCCCACTAAATCCGAACACAGTCCATTTAACCCAGTTCCGGTTTTTAAACAAAACCGGTTAAAAAACCCGGATTAACCGGACCCGTTATACCCATAACCGAAATACCCGGAACCCGGATAAGAGCAATATTGAAACCCGATACCTTGACTGTTTAAGCATTTTCCGGCTATACCGATTCCGCTTCTGGTCCGGTTCTGGTTCCGATCCGCTTTTCCGGTTCTAAATCTCATCCCTAGGTTGGGTTAGAAGACAACACATCTCCTTGGATCAGGGCAGATAACCCCTAAATGTACCTTTCTATCTTCTTACTCTACGGAGTAACCATCTCAGGGCATAGTGCTGCCAGGTCGCTAAACCTGTCAGTGTAGGCCACTATGTCTGAGCCGACCATTGTGAGCTCCCATAGTTCTTGTTCCAGCTTTTGAACTTCACCCAACGGGCAGTATTCTTCTAGCATTAACTCTTTTAGGTTCTCCCAACCTATTGAGTTAGCCACCGATAGGGCAGTGAATTAACATGGCTATTCCACCATGTTAGGGCTCTGTCGGAGAAGGTGCAGGCAGCAAACTTCACTTTGCTCCCTTCTGGGCATGAACAAATTGCGAAGACCTAATCTGTTTTCTCGAACCATCGCATCAAAGTGATGACTCTACCATTTCCATTAAAGGATTTGGGTTTGTAGTTCATGAAGTCCTTGTACGAACACTCCCTTGGGTGTCCATGGGTAACTCAGAGGTTGGCTAAGTGGTTACCGCTACCAGATCCGAAGGTACCACTTTCGCCGAAGTGAGCTAGAGCAGTTGCCACTGCGGAGGATATCATTGCTTGGAGAGCAGCAGGGTCGAATTGTGGTGGAGATAGTGGCGGTTGATTTGGAGTTATTGGAGTAGTGCGTCTGTTCGATCTGCGAGGAGGCATCTTTGCTAAAAGAATACAAAGATGAGATGGAATAAGTCTATAGAAGTGGATATAAGCCAAAAGCTGAAAGACAAGGTTATCCTAGTTCTAAATGTATCGGGTCCTGACTTCACAAGGTTTTGGAAACGATTCATAAAAGAGTCTATTCTAATAAACTTTATGAATTAGAAATGGCTATCCTCGAATGAATATCTGTGACCTGAATAAC